ATCATGGCTTGTTGTTCAAGCAGCTCAGACGCTCTGAAAAGTTTCCCGTCCATCCCGCCTATTCCAAGCTTCTTTCTGGTGGGAACTGAAAAGAAAAAACCATGCCTTGTGAGGTATGGATGCTTCCACAAATTGCCAAGCCATCTGGAGTGTCCAAGGAAAGCATGCAGCAACTGACAGCAAGTGTTGTCGTTTCTCACTGGCAGCTTTGCTAGGAATGATACAGCCGCCACCTCTTGGATGTAGATGGACATAATCCGAAAGGATGCCCATCTCCCTCTCCTCTGGACTAGGTCTCCCGACTCAGTCATCTGCATGATGTAGGTCGCCGCTCCGCCTGGGCGGAGCGATCCTAGGTCTAATGGTCGCATGCCTGCGAAAAACCGGTCTGGTAATTGCAGTGCCTTGCAAACTGCTTTGAATCGTACTCTCAACGTCTGCGGGCTCAATGGCCACAAAAAAGCAGAGGGTGGCAGAGATCTGAATGCTAGTTCGCACACCGAAATGACGTCGGGGATGTCCACCTTAGCCGCCTGATGGCGGGCGGCGGAGAATCTCTTGGGCTCATTGATGGCCAACAAAATGAAAGGCGTAGTGCCACCTAAATCTGAAGGTAATTGAAGGTCCTGTCTTTTCGACTGGAAAATCTCGCCTGCTCGTAGGAGCCCTGCCCAGGCGAGAGCAAGACAACCAGCCACTCTGGCCCAACCCCAGGTCAGGCAGCATGTCACGCACGCGAGCAGCACCTGAGGTGGCATAGCCGTGTGGCGCTGACCTGACCCAGGAGTAGGCCAGGTCCCAGGACCCTTGGAGGACCCGCCTCAATTGAGGCTTCCAGCTGCTGATGGCGTTTATTGTCTCTGAGTAGTGCGCCAGTGGCCTGCCGGCCTTGTAAAGCTCTCTGCCGTACATGGAAAGTAAGCAGTTGATCTCTTCAACATGGTGATAAGTATCAGCAAAAAGTTCAGCAGCAATGACCCCTTTCCCCAGCAGCCAAACTCTGAACTTCTCCAGGAGAACTTCCCTCTGCTTTTCAGTGATTTTCAAGACTGGTCTTCCCTGAGGAAGCGGTTCCCTGCCTTGTCTCAGCGTCGCTCTCTTCCAGTCACCAGCATTTCTAGGCTCAACAGGCGCCGCCATGGCTACATTCGGCCCAACAGAATGGCTGCAAAAGTCCACGAAAGAGAGACACTGCCCGGCTCTTTGATGGGAAGGCCGACGAACAGGAGCAGACAGAAAAACTCCAGGGCTCTTGGCCCTTCACCTGGAAAGCCAAGGGTCTGATCGAATTCCATCGTGGGCTCACATTGACGTGCTGGGGGGGAGGGACAGATAAGGACAGGCACGGAAAATATTCTTCTGCTTGAAGTAAATCACTTCCTTTCCACACACTATGAGCACGAGCCGAAACCAGTTGGCGGCCCAGCGCCTAAGTGCTTTGCAGCCTGCGAGCTGGTGCAGCTCACCAATGCTAAGATCTAAGGCCCTCGCACTCGATGTTCCCTGTCTGACCTCAACATCTCTGGTGGGATCATCAGCGGGATTGAGCCTGGTCGGGCAAAAAGGGAGGCAAAAATAGAGGCCTGCTGCTGTGCAAACTGCCCCAAATTTGCATATCACGGGGGTCAAGCCAAGTGATGACGAGCGCCCCTTTGATAAGGCACACCTGACCACGTTTGAGTCTACCAAGGACACGACCCTGAGAGGCTTCCTCAGCTTAGCGACATGTTCTGCTAACTTAAGTACCGATACGGATTCTTGGATGTTGATATGGGACGGCTTTCGAAAACTCCAGACCTTCTCTGTCTTCCAACTGGCCTCAAGAGCGGCCTGGTTGACCAAGATGTTTTCCAATCCAGCCGTATCAACTTCTCTCCAGAACTCATCACGCGCTTCGATCTCATCAATGGCACTACACAAAACCTCAGCGAGGGCTATGGCAAGCAGCCCAGTGTACATGGCGCTATCCTTAGTGTACTTCCCCTGCACCAGAAGATGTTTCTGTGTGCATTTGCATCGCTGTCGCACTCGAGCGAGGGGAGCCAAGACACTGAGGAAGGCAAAACTTTTTTGATGAGGCGACCCGAAACAACAGGAGTCGGTTCTGCAAAAATCGAATGCAGGTCTTTTTCTCAACACCTCATAGGGGGGCAAGGCCTTAAGCTTTGAAGAATAAGGTGTCTCTAGCCACCCTGGTACGCCAGCCCTTTCCCCTAGGTGTAAGCACTGCAGGCCCCGCAAAGCGAGCGAGGTACCTGTTCTTGTCTGCTCATGAGTGACGTCGAATCCATAAGGTTCTTGCTTTGACCTCAGAGCCGGACGGCGCATTACGGAAAAAGTGGTACATGGTGGCTCCACTGAAAAGGCCTTCACTAAACGGTTCGAAATAAGATGTGAGACCCATGACATTACATAGTGCCTAGTCATGTCATACTCTGGGCTGGCACTAAGATCAATGGGTTGACAAACTGTTCGGCCCCTATCCACCATTGCTGCGGTAATTTTCGCTGAGCCTGCAAACACTTCGACAAAATCGAACCTGTAGGCCAGTGGCCTTGAAGGTGCAAAGTTCAGTGCCCCCTCTTCTGCTTCCGACGGCCTTTCCTCAAAAACTGCATGTCTTTTGATTGCAACCTCAACTGGTGAGAGCAGCCTTGAGTAAGCCCCTTTGGACTTGGTGGTCTTCCACAACACCTCACTCACCTCAGGCCTAACGGAGGCGGAGCAAAAAGCCCCCTTCGCCGAAGAAGCGTCAGTGCAAAATATCTGTGACATGTAATCTGCACTAAGCTCACTAGCAGCAAAAGGAATGAGGACCGATGCCAGGACCAGTTCATTTGCCGTCTGACGCGGCAGGCGTAGCATCTTGGGCTCCGATGCTTTTAGAGTGCTGGCATCGACAAGGCTGAACACCTTGCCAGAGAGGCTCATGAGCGGTCGACGAAACATAAACGCTGAAACCCATCCCCCTACTAGGCAGGTATGCAAAACATCCGTGGTGTGGGTCAACGCTGAAAGTTTCAGACTGATCAAGGACAGCGAAATCCTCTTTTCTATCGGGGCTCCTACCAAAACCATGCCTCTTTTCCTTGCTTCTGCGGACGAATTGACCTGGGCTCCCACAACCTTGGCTTTGTCCCCCAGGACGTCCTTTTCCGGGCTCCCTAGGAGCTTATGCTGTTCATATGTGGTGAGAGCAGTGGCAATTTTCTTACTAGCTCTGGACTTGCTAAGGGGGACACCTACCAGTTCTCTGCTGATGGCGAAATAATCATCGATGCACAGACCCTCACAATCCGCCTGAGCTTCTAAGGGCCTGGAGCTCCTCAGCCTACAGTGATCTGGGAGCAAGCCTATTGATGTTAGCAGTGAAGCATGAGCACACGTCGCAATATCTACCCCGGCATGGTCCCCCTGTAGGATCGATCTGAAGCACGCAAACAACCGATGTGGCCTCTCGCAGGCCTGCCTCAGGCCTCTCCATCCGAGCCTGTCTCCGTGCAGGCTTCTTTTGTACCTGAGGCGCGAGGAGGCGAGAGCGTACTCTTCAAAAGCCTTTGTTTGGCTAAGGCTCTCAAAGGGGACCGCAGGGCCTACGGTGTTGGTTCGAGAACGACTGGGAGTGGCATAGAACTGGTGGTAAAAGTCCTTACGGTCCGTAACCGCAATGGCAAGGTAGTGAGTCCGTGGGTTAACTTGAAGGTCTATCAAATCAAAACCGCATGGTAAATCTCGGCTAGGTCCCGAAACGCGACACTCGACGCTGTTTCTGGCACGGCGGTCTCCGATCTGCCGGTCTTGGCTTGATGACTTGTACGCATTGAAAATGCGTGTCTTGCACTCTGGTTCTGAAGGCGAAAAACCATCGTGGATGAAAAGCAACCCTCTGCTGTCCCAGAGGTGGGCCAATTTGCCAATCTCTTCTTCTGGGTCATTCGCAACCGGCCATGTCTCTCGGCCATAGTCCTCTGCCTCAAAAAGGAGTGAAGCGGGCTCTCTGTAAGCCATGACCAGTTCATCATCCAAATATGGAGTGGCATCCCAATGGCCAGACCCCTTAAGGACAAGTCTGCTAGCATCCAGGTTCCTATATGGTTTGAGCTCATCAGTCTCGTTCTTTGGTGGCACATCATAGCCTTGGAAACTTCTGTCATAGGGATTGCAGGATGGTCCTAACAAAGTCAGCGCATCCGACAATTCCCCGAGCCTTGCAACTAATTGAGGGAGCCTACGACCCGAGCTTGCTAATGTCTCAAAACAAGCTAGGCCCTCCGACCTTATCAAGCGTCTAATCCTCGCAAACAGGCGCAAATGCTGCGTGGATGGTGCTCTCCCAAGAGACCCCAAATCAACATGTCCTCCAAAATGCCAGAAATTCAAAGCTAGCACTATGATATGGACAGCACGATTCAAATGGGTCCTCTTCCTCTTAACCAGAGAAAGGTCATGGGGCATCCGAGCGAACCACTCGCCTTCCGGGAGCGGAGCCGGGAACAAGGTCGGTGCCGTGCTTTTCACACGGGGCAGGTGGAAAGTGCGTGCCAGGAGTGCTGCAAAGGGAGTACGAGTCCTCAGCACAAGGGAAGTTAATTGCGCACACCATCTCGGATAGCTGAACTTCACCATGTCAAAACTTGCATCAAATTTTGCTTCATGCTTGACTGAGTCTTGAAGCCTAAGCCCGCTGTCCACTTCGGAACGGCCCGGCCCTGTACGTTGGTCTTGCTCATATGTGCTGGGCAAACATCTATCCATTGCTGAATTCACTGACCTCCCCATTGGATGTGACCTGTCAAATGCACTGTCCAGATGGGGCTCATACTCAGGCACTAGGCCTTGGGCTGAGGTTCCCCCTTTGGCCTCTTGGGGAACCTTGGCTTTCGCTTGGGCGAGGCTTCGCCGCTCTGGTCGCCTGGCGAAGTTGTCGAGGCTGCCTTTTTCTTCGTATCTTGCTTCCTTGTCGACATGATGTCTAGGTCCTTCAGGAAGGAGAGGAGAACTGCTCCCCACGCCGCTGGCATGAGTGGCGTGAATGGCTTGCTGAGTGCAGCGCTCGCCGTCTTTTCCATGGACAACTGAGCAGGCGGGTCTTCTACCAGTGTCACCAGGAAGGCGGTCTCCCACCCTTGATCCATGGCCGCCTGGTCCAAAGCTGTGACCAACAATGCGAGGTGTTCTCTGACACCATCGTAATCTTCTGCAATTGCCGCATCGATAATGTACTTAATGATCCAAAGGATCGTCCCCAGCTCCCGACTGCTCTTGTAGGCTCCATAGCGCTCCAGGTAGGCCAGAAACGACAGTTTGGAGTCCCTCGCAGCTTCTGTGGTCGATGGAACCGGTCTTGAAGGATACATCCGACGAGACACTTGTTGAAGGAATGCCAGCCAGTATTGACTCTGTCTGAGGGCCAGATCTGATTGCATCTTTTCTCGCCTTGCAACGCCTCTGGTAGTAGATGCGGAGCTTGCCCCTGTCACCCCCAGCTGCAGGTCTGAAAGAGGGTCGGAAGACCCCCGGCCAGGTGAGCTACCAGCGATGTGATGGCCGTCGACTGCTGAGCCAGTGCTGTGATCACCGGATCTGTCGCCTCCGGGGCTGTCGGATCCTTCGGCTCGTCCATTGGAAGCGGTGATTCGACGGCTTGCGCCCTTGTCTTCGGAGGCGGGCCTAACAGGCTTGCAGCTGTCTTGGGTGCACCATGCTTGGGCGGAGGCAATGCTGCCAGACTTGCGGACAACGGTGCCATCTTGGGGTAATGACCTAGAACCTGACCACCTGGTTGTTCTACGGCAGGCGCGACAGAGGGGGTATATGAAGGGCTCAGCTGAGCCCTGGACGCCGTCTGGAGTGCAGCTAAGGCTTCGACCTTGGCCTTCACTGCAGGACTTAGTGCTTCTGGCTCTTCTCGAGCCGAGTAAAAATTTGCACGGCCTATCCCATGCGCCTGCGTCCACTCTCTGGCCGCATTGAGCAACTGACTAGTGGTTGGTAAAGCCCCCGGGAACTCATGATCGAACGGCTCAATCTCTTCCCCTGCGTCCAAGGCAGGATCATATTCTCTCAAACGGTTGAGAACACTGTCCAGCATATCAACCTGAAGCAGATCGATCGGCAAGGCATCGACCGGGACTATGTTTCCCTCTTCATCTTCCTCCACAAGACCTGCCCCACAGACAAACGATGGGCCCAGGACTTCAGCTTCATCATCGGATTGGCCCCTTTCCAACACGGTATCTTCGAAAGTGTGGATGGGAACAGCTAGCAACAGACCCCCTTCACGGGATAGGATGGGCAAAGCATATACTAATTTCTCCTGGCCCCCTTTCGAGATGTCAGGAGGAACGTGCAAAACTAATAAGCTAGGCTCTCCCGCCTCTGCAAACCTCAGTTGACTTTTCTGCATTCCTTCAACGGTGGCACCTCAATCGATGCTCCGAGACAGAAGACCTGCAATTCAGTCAACGATGGGAACTCTTCAATGATCGAATCCTGGGACGTGCCTCCAGCAGCCTGAGTGGCCTGCCGTTTCGATGCAACTCGAACTGGTGACTCGAGCCAGGGACCCCTCAATACAATCCAATGTGTGCTATGCAAGTGGACGACTGGACCCGAGGTGCGATACCCTGATCCTGAGGCCAGCGCAACCCTAGCTCGGTGACCCGCCTCGAAAGCCCTCCAAACCCGACGCTTAAGGGAACCGTGGATGCTCTCAGCCTAGTCCTGCACAGCTCTAAGATATCCGGAGGCACTGGTGGGACAGGATCAGTTGCCGAGGGCTCACCCTGGGTTGGCGGCAAATGAAAAGGTCCCTCGTTCGCAAAAGGCGGACCTCCTGCCTCGATCTCTTCCCAAACACTCTCGTCGATCAGTCCTTCCTGATCTGCCCACTGATCTAGTAGCCTACTCAGGTCCTGAACCCTAGTGCTCAAGTGCTCAACTGAGCTACCTCGGCTGAGATTCTAGCAAGTTCCAAACGAACGGAGTCCAGAGCGATCCTACTGCTCATGCAGATATCCCCCCAGCCGGCGGGATAACAGACGAATCGTAGCAGCCCTTTCTGGGGGAGACAAAAGATGCGGAGAGTAGGTGATGAAAGCAACGAAGCCCAGTAGGATAAAAGAGACTGCCAGCGAAAATCCACAGACGATCCCTACCGCAAAAGGACCCCAAATCGAAGGCGAACAGTGAGCCGGGCAGGATAGGTACTGCGACGCCTGCAGGAGGGTTGTCAAACCTCCCAAAACTCTATCCATGAAGCTTGAGAAGTGAGGGCCAACAGTCGCGGATATTCAATCAATCAGCTTGTAGTGGCGGGCCATTTCTCAGCTTGACTGAAACTGAGCAAGTACATCAGGGTGCCTGCTCAGTTGATGGCCCAATCGTTCCATGGTGCGAAAAGTATGGGATGGTGAATCATCATTCTGATGGATGATGGTCCAACTCATCTCTTTCTCACAAATGACTTAAGAGGGCACATCGGCCCGAGAAGGTCGTCTGGACCGGTCTCTGCCCACCCATCTACTGCAGGGCTCCGGCCCATCTACTGCTATCAAGGCCCATCCCACCAACGCGGCAGGGCCCGGCCTCGCAAGTACCATACTTCGTGGCAATCTTTCCAGTCCCGGAACCACGTCCTGGGTCTTGGTCAGCACCCAAGTCAGCTGAAACATTGAGGAACCTCCACCCAGTACTTGCGCTAGCAGAATGCATCACCTCAACCCTTTGCCGCCCTAATCGTTCAATCTGCTCGAAGAATCTATCTCTGCGGCGTCCGCCCCAGTCGCCCCAGTCGCCACTTCACTCCCCTCCACACCGGTCGAACCCGCTTCGGTGGCAAACACCGTGCGTTCGACCCGGTTCGGCCGCCGCACGGCGTCGACCCAGTCGAACGCCCAAGACACATGGCTTCGTCATGCCCACCCTTGTCTGGATGCAGCCTGCACGACAGGCCGAATGATAGGGTGGTATAGGGAGTATAAGGGTCTGAAGTCCACTTCCAAGCTTCCTCCCAAAAATGGCGGTCCTTTGTACAACCCCTGCCGCCAATTTTGCAAAAGACGCCCGACTGTGACCGACTGCTGAGCTCCGCCGCGAAGGCATGGGTTTTGCTTTGTGGACATTTGCAAGACCCCGCAAGAGCCCTCAATTTCCTGACGGGTGCGACGAAAGCAGGGAATGAAATGGATCCTGAGGAATGGAATTCCATTCCCTCGTTGAGGAATGGATCCTAAGGAATGAATTCCTTAGGATCCTAATGAGGAATGGATCCTGAATGGAATGGAATGGATCCTGTAGTGGGGGCATTCCATCCCTCATTCCCTGCTTTCGTCGCACCAGTCAATTTCTGGCGCATTGGATGCGCTTGGATGTGCTTGGTCAAAAATATTATCACGAAGGAAGATATACCGCCTTCGAAAGAATGGGTGGCCGCATGGGCCAAAGAAGGACAAGAAGGGGCTTCTCAACTTGGCTGTTCAACTTGGTGGGCGCCACTCCTGCGGGTGGCTGAAGGTCTCCTGTTTCCGGCCGAAACCCCTAACCCGTCCGGGTGTTGAAGAAAGCAGCATCCGTGCTCCAAAAGAATGTGCCCCCATGTCCTTCGGAACACAAGCTGGAACCAGCCTCCTCTGTACAGTCTTCAGAAGCTTTGTCTTCTCCTCCTCTGGGGCCGTTCCGACAACCCAACTCGGCACATGCTGCATAGAGATGCATTTTGTGCTTCAATGTGCTTCAGTGTTCACGGGTCTTTGTCCGTTTTCGGGGAAGGAAGCACTTCACTTGATCCTAAGACTATGACAATTGCTCTAATATTATAAGCTCGTGTTTTGCGTGAAAACGAGGTGGAGTTCCACAACCCAACAAAATGAAAACCTGTGGGTGAACGAGGGCTTCCCCTCCTTGGTGCCCTTCCAAAGGCTCATCAGCTCGTTCACAACCTCTTGGGTTAATTTCTTGGCTTCCTCTTCGAGCGGTTGCGGAGGTGTCTCCCAACAGACCATCGATGTCTCGCCAAGCACTGGAAGGTCGTGCTGCGGCTTTGCCTTGAGGCTCGGATAGTAGCTGGAGGAATCTTCGGAGCTCACTGGCGCAACTGCTGGAATGATCTTCATAGATTTGTCCACACCTGTCCACAGCGGGAAGAGCTGCGAGTCTGAATCAGCTTTGGTGCTTGAAGCATGGTACGCAGGATCTGCTTGATGAGATTGACATGAAGGCATTGCGGCATCAAGGCATTCGTGGCACCCATCCGCATGCTGGTGTTCTTCCTCAAAGAATGCAGCGCCAGGCTGATCGTGGCCTCTGAAATCCTCCAGGATGGAAGTCACGATGCTGGGTATGTCCTCCAGCAAGCGGCCGAGCAATTGATTTCACTCCATCAAACCAAGACAGGTTAAGTGACAAGTGACCTGATAGGACGTCTAGTGGGGTACCGAACTGGGATAGTCGAACGTTCGGGTTCTGACCCACCTCTGTTGGAAACATCACCGACCAAAGCAAGACATCGACTGCCTGAAGCGAGGGGACTCGGAACTTCGGAGATTCGGTAGGTGAAGAATGGCACCCCAATATGTCTTATAGACAGATTGGAGATCCATGCACACCCAACTTGGGTACAGTAACTTGCGCTATCTACTCTCCATCCACCCAAAAAATCAAACGCCCATGACCTATTTCCTCCATCCCCCCTGATCTCCCGCTTCTCTCCTTCATCAAAGCCTCCCGGATCTCCACGGTGAGTTCCTCGGCCACGGGCGCCATGGCCCGGAAGTCACTCAGCTCCCGCAGCAGCCGATCACCATTCCGCTGCTCGGCCTGGTGCAGCGGGGGCGGTGCGGGTTCCGAGCGTCAAAGACGAGCAATCCAGGTATCATGTGTAGACCCCCCAGTGTGGAAGCCAAATTCTTCGCTGTTTTGGCCATGTGGGTGGCGGACAACATTTCTTCATGCCCAGAAAGCCCTACGGAAGTTTGATCGGATGGATTTTGGTCGATTTTCCCAACCTTGCAGGCCGGAAAGGATGCAGTCTAAGCTGTTCAGTTGTATAGCAATGCTGCTAACAGATTGGTAGTTTTGTAAATTCCAGTATATATCGTTTGGAGGGGTTGGCGTTCACAAGTTACTCTTTGCCTAATTAATGGCCACTTGATCTACCCCTCGTCACTGCAAATTATCAAAATGGGCAGAGTTATATAGTATCGTCGCACAATAACCAATGACATGACATGCACAGCAAAAAGGGTCGTTCTAATCTTCCTACATGCACACATGTCCAACACCATCCCAATCCAGTCACCCTCTGCCTTCGCCACATCCTTTTCGATGTCTGCCTTGAGCTCCTCGAGCCGCCGGAGCAGCCGATCGGCATTCCGCTGCTCTGCCTGCGCAACGCCGAGCAAAGAGAAAATCCAGGTATCATGTTGAAGGCCAGCAAGCGCACAACACCAATCGGGGAAAGGATGCACTCTAAGCTGTTCAGTTGTATAGCAATTCTGCTGACAGATTGCTAGTTTTGTAACTTCGAGTCTCGTTTGGGCAGTTGTCTGTCACAATGTACTCTTTGCCTAATTGGCCAATTTGTTTAAACATTTTGTACTGAGAGAGATTGCATTGCGCTGCCTTGCTGAAACAATATCAACTCCTCCCCTCGTCACTGCAAATTATCAACATGGGCAGCGTTATATAGTATCGACACGCAATAACCAATGACATAACATGCGCAGCAAAAAGGGTCGTTCTAATCTTCCTACATGCACACATGTTCAACACCATCCCAATCCAGTCAACCTTTGCCTTCGCCACATCCTTGTCGATGTCTGCCTTGAGCTCCTCGAGCCGCCGGAGCAGCCGATCGGCATTCCGCTGCTCTGCCTGGGCAACGCCGAGCAAAGGGAAAATCCAGGTATCACGTAGAAGGCTAGCAAGCGCACAACACCAATCAGGGAAAAGATTGTAAGCTGTTCAGTTGTATAGCAATGTTGATGCCAAATGGCTAGTTGCGCAAGACCCACTATCGAACTCGGGGTCACCCTGCAGTCTTCGTCGATGCCAAACGCATCTTTCTTCGGGGTGAATGGCTTGCTCAAGTGATTGCCGATGCCAAACTACAAGGCTTTACAAGCCATAGACTCACGCCCTACCACTCCCCAGTGAACGACCGTAGGTGAAAGTATTGACAGGCGCAAGGTTGGGGAGTTGACTGAAAGGTTTTAAGGGGTATTGGCCGGCGTCGTTCCCAAAACAAAGAGTGGTCAGTGGAATCAGTGGATACTGCAAGTACCCACTGGACCAAAGCAGCATTCAGTCCGACTCAGCTTCGAGCGGGTGACGGGTGACACTAGGTTCTTGCCAGGGGCCAACACTTGGCACAGTTACGCTCTATTGTTGCAGCACAAAAGAATGGCACTGAAAAGAAAGGGAACAGGGGGCACTTTCTTCCTGCTGCCCCGCTGCCCTTCTTTCTATCCGCTCTCAAAGCCAAATCCATCCCCAGCATCTCCAAAATCCCTTCCGTCGCCTTCGTCACCGCCACTCTGATCTCCTGACGAAGCTCCTCTGTCATCCCGGCGAAATCACTCAGCTGCCCTCGCAGCTGCTGGGTTTGGAGCTTCTGCGTCTCCAACTCCGCCTGCAGTGCTAAGGATCATTTCAAGGGGGTTGTCGAACTTGGAGTTGAAGGCACAAGTCTTTACTACTATGCCTATGACTCCTTTGATGACTCCTGGGGCCTCTGCTCTCCTTCCGTGATATGCGATCTGTAAGGGAAGCTTCAATCAGATACAAAAGGAACAAGAAGGAGGTGCAGGAGGAGGATTAGAAGAAGAGAAGTGGCTGGTTTCAGCTTCAACTTTCACAGCTAACTGAGGAGGTTGTGTCCTTTGAACTTTCTCACCAACCTGAAGCGCAGTCAAGAGGTTCTTCTGCTCGTCGATGAGTGCTCGCTGCCTCCCTGAAGACATGGCTTGCTGTTCCAGAAGCGCACCTTGATTCTCCAAGTCCTGGGGAGAGAGGTCGGTCAGGACGGTAACTTGAAAAGAGATCAAGCACCTTCCTCAGGTGTGTTGGTTTCCTACATCCATACCATTATCGGTGTTGGTATTGACACCAACCTCAAGATGCAGGGCCCGTGGACTGCTTTGTCTTACGACAGGGGCATCTAGCAATGGTCGATGTGTGATTTTCAGAATCCAGAAGAGTTCAACCTCAAGCATACTCACCTCAAGCCATGCAACCACAACTCATTCAGAGGTCCTTTGCTTGGCTCCGTAGTTCACTTTTCAGCATGGCAAACTCCTGCTGGACCCAATCTGCATGAGCGTAGTAACCGTGAAAGTACACCTTAGCGGCTACAGTGGGTCATCGCCCGCCACCTTAATATGAATATTACATGTATATAAGTATTAAATATATATATATATAGATATTATCTCTACATTGTATATATATATATTGTATGTATAGGAACACCTAACACGGGAGATGCTTGACAAAGAGGTCTCTGCCCGCAGTTTCACACAGTGAAAAGCACCATACCAACGAAAACAAAGCGTATCACAATAGATGTTGGATGGACAAACGACAAAGACCTTGGGTATAATTACAATGATGCTAGGCTCCTTAGTGACTCTCGTACCAGCCAAGTTGCATAAGAGCCAGCTTTCACAGGGCACTCCACGGCGGAGTCGTTGTGGTTGAACTCGCCATCTTCTGGCAAGATACCCTCAAGACAGCTCCGATCCGCGCTGCTCTCCCATTCCAGATGTCCACCACTGAAATGCTTCCATAGGTACTTGTATTGGAAACTTGTTTGTTCCAGCTCCACCTGGCAGGGTTTCAGTCAAAGAATATACTTCAGTGCGAAAAGATCCTGCTCAAGTGGCACGCGCTTCGGGAGTGTGGGGGGTTTTGTAGAGCAGCTTGCCCCGCACACAGACCTACTGTCCTTGCCCGCACCTCAACCTGCCACTTGGGGAACAAGCCATCTTCCGTCTTCAATTCAATGGCGCAATCTGGCTTCCACTGTCCAAGCTGAGGAAGACCTGGCTGTGGAGGTGCAAGCAAAGAGAAAATCTCCGTCCCCACCTATGCAATCAAGTGGATTGAACCCTTGAAGCAGTCACGAGCAGTGAGAACGGGCCCAGTACTAGTAGAAAATAACAGGACATGACGGAAGCTTCACCCCCCAATTGGAAATGTCAGAAGTTTCAGCCACCCTCATTCCATAAACTCACCCAGCTCCCCAAGTCAGTCCCCCAGCTGTTTTCTGCGTTATCTTTTTTTCCTGCGCGTGTCCTTCCGAGTTTGGCGCCCAAGTGGCTCCCCACCACGAAGACTTTGTCGCCCGGTTTGGCGTCCTTCACGGAGACCACGAAGCGCATCCGTCGGACCATGGCGCGTCCTTCGGACCCTTCGGATTGCAAGGTGGAAGCAGTGCGGGTGTCAAGTCTCAGCCGGTGGAGACGGAGAGTCTCAGAGGTGCAGATTGGAAAAACGATGTGAGATCTTTGTTCAAAAATCGTCAGCCAGGCTGAAAGCACTGCCCACATGATTGACCACATGGGTTCGTGTCCGTGGATTTTTGAGGTCACTGTTCATTGTGAAGAGTTGTATCCTTCATCTCCCTCCCTGCAAGGCTCCGAAACTGGTCGCCACAGCGGCAGCGGTGGGCCCCCTTTCACAGACCACTTGCTCCCCAAGAGACCCAGCCACCTTTTAGAGCGTAAACATCAATGGGAATGTAGTTTTGCCGGATGATGAATTCACTTGATTCACTTGACCATATGTTTCTTGATTTAGTTATATATGTTTTTTAAGTTTCATAATATAAATATATATATATCATACATATTGCATATGCATATATATATATGTCTTTCAAACAAGAATACAATAATAGTAATATCTAAAAAGAATTTATAGTGATCTAGTAATATCTATATTACTCTAGTGATCACTTATTCAGTAATATCTAAAAGCAACTCTAGTGATCTACTGTTGAGAGCATTGCTCTCCGAGACTTCTTTCAGTGATCGGACGACTGCCGGACCACTCCGAGTCATCCACAACGATGAGTTGTCGTAAACACAACGATTGATGAGCGATGTATTGATTAGGGAATATGAACCGACTGAATTGATCATCTAACTCTAAGTTTATAGCAAGAATGTCTAGTCCTATTGAAATTCTGACAAGCATCAATGTCCGAGAAGTCCCTATATGTCAACAAGCACAAATCAATATATCCTCGATATGATATGTCCATTAAAGAATATTGAACATATCAACAAATGGTGTGTTTGCCTTCAAGTTGCAACGTACTACGGAGCTTAATTCCGGCGAAGATTTCTTTCATGAAACACAGCAATCCCATGTATTGATGAGAATCTCATTAGTTGCGGTGGCCTCAAATTCATGGCTATCAAGAAAAGTCTTGGTTAGCAACAGTTCTTGATCTTCGATCTGCATTAAAGAAGAACTGTCACAAAATACAATGTCCTTCATTGCTAATAGCTCTTGTACCTACTAGCTGCTACCGCTTTGCTATCACCAAAAAACGTCCTTTCTGCTAATGGCTCTTATAACTTCTAGGTGCTAATATCTCCTGCGGCTGTGGAAGATAGTGACCAGTGACGTGATTTGCCAGGAATCTATATAATATTTAAAAAATCAATCCATTTTATATTATTGACAATATGTGTTTGGTAGTATTGCGCAATTGTGGTTATGTATGATTTTTAATATATTGTATATTATAAGCTACAGGCAAAACCAATTATCAAACATGTACAACCCCTACAATAGTAATATTTTGCGATGATTAATACAATATAATGTCGTTTTTTGTCCGATCAATAACTTAAAGAATCGGATGATTCTACGGTTTCCACTTGCACCGTACTACGAGCCTAATTCCGGCCAAGATTCACCTGGTGAAACACAAAGGTCCAGTGCAATGATGAGAATTGTATTCGTTGTGTTCGCTACACTGACGTCAAATTAATTTAATTTATGGTTTTCTTGGCCGGCAGCAGTTCTTGCCCTTCTATCAGCAGAACTGCCACCAAAACTTGCAACTTTGTTGCCCATAGCTCTTGTAGCTACTAGCTGCTCCTGTGGCAAAAGAAAACAGCCAAGTTATTGTATCAAATCTCCTTTCGTCATGTGGTCCAAGAGAAGAGCATCCCAGATCTTCGGCCGCCAATTCTTACCCTTCTATTCACAAAGGGAGAACTGCCGCCAAAATTTGCTCTTGTTGTTCTTGGCTCTTGTAGCTACTAGCTGCTAATAGCTCCTTTGGCTAAAAAGGGATAACGCAATCACTTGCCCGGAATCTACCTCTCAACCAGCTCATAAGAGTGGGTCGAACCTGAAGCGACAGGATTTGAGGGGATGAGTAAGCAACAGTCACTCTGGGCTCATTCCTGCTCTTGCGTATTGGTCGCAAACTCTGAGGGCCTTCACTTGCATCAGAATCACGTTGCCACTCTGCCCTCAACTCCTGCAGTTTATGGGAAAACCAATATGATCTTCTCGTTCAATAGAATGGTTGATTAACTTTCAGACTAGCGGTCCTCTACTCTTTTAAAGACACCCAAGCGTTCTTTCAAATGTGAACTGCAAAAGGGGTGGTCAGCAACCCGGCAACTCCTCTCTAATGAGCTGCATCATATGCTGCCGTTCCATCCTGGGGAATCGTGCCAAAAAGGAGCGGAGCAAAGGAACCCCTCCAGGCTTTGGGTTCAGCCATTAGCTCCTTCAATGGGATGCGGACACTTCAAGACAGAAGCAAAGTGCTTTAACGTCGCCATGGAGCTGGAATTCAGCGAGCAACTGCTGCTTCTCAATCTGGAACTTCTCCTCGCGAAGTGCGGAGGCGTAGAGATCTTGAAGCCAAAAAGAGCTGCCAACTATAGCCCAATATATTGCTTGGGACCCCCAATACCTCTTCAGGTATTGGCTCCGAAACTGCTGATCGGTTCGTGCACCAAACCCCCCACGCATGTGACAAACCACTAACGGTTTGTGTCACATGAACGGGCATATTATGACTTCATCGACCCACTGTCGACCGTGGTTCGACCACAGTTTGTGCACACACCAATCTTCTCCTCCATTTCAAGTCGCAGCTTGTCCATGGGGTTTGGCAAATGCTGCCTGATCGCGCAGAGTCATCGTTGGCGCACGCCCCCTTCAAGAAGGAAAATGGCCCAGAACCCATTGGTGAGAGTCTCCCTCTTAAGATAAAAACCTCTTGAGCTATAGTGAAAGTGGAAGGCCTTTTGGTGTTGGCTCTCTAGGAGTGCCGCTGGACGAGAATACGTACTGTGGACCAACTTGTTTGTGTTCCTCAGCGGCCGATGGACGTTCTACGGTCGAATCTCTCAAAGTCGACGACCAACATCACCAACAGGCCCTTGTGTTGCACAACCTCAACAATCACCAGTTTGGTCTCAGCTCGAACTGTTTGTTTGCCGCGAGCTGGCGGAAGGTCTACACTCCTTGAAATCACATGAAATAATCAGTGGATAGCATGGCCCCAAGTTCCGATGACCATGAAATCTGAAACCAACAACTCGAGGATTTCAATCAGTGTCACGACGCAAGCCTCGCAAGCCTCGCAGATGTCTCCCGTCCGGGGGCATCGTGTGCCACGGTCGATCTCTGCGGCCGAGCATCTGAATTGCCTCGGAACTGGCCAGCGGGGCCCTGGCAGCGTTGGCAGAGACGAAGAGCTCAAAGTCTCCATAGCAGGCGGCTGCTTCTTCCTGCTCGCGAGCCCTTCAATTCCAACAGCCATTGTTTAAAGTTTAATGGTCTTTACCGAACAACCATTAAGGGCTTTGGAGTACAAAACAGGTCCACCACTTTCTGAATGGTCTTTGAAGGCTAGGGTGAGGGTTTCGCCTTCATGGGTATGCTTTGAAACCTCTAAGAAACCAAAAGTCCGCAATGCTAAGGGGGTCTAGAGCACTGCTACGACGACAAACACCTTGAGACCAAAGAGCTCAAGACCGCCCTCGGCAACCCTGTCTAGCGGTACAACCGTAGAGGATGCTGCACAATCCACAATTCGAGAGCGAGTGAGAAAAAGACCAAGAGGTTTGGGGTACAGAATCCCAGAAGCCAGTCTTGTTTAGCAGAGGTTTGTAAACCACTGGGTGAAGTCATATTGTTTGTTAATGCAACCCAACCTCTGTCAACAACTGTCTTGCAGAACCTGGAACGGATGGTGAACTCCAAAATCAAAAGCGCTTCCCAAGCGTTGGCACAACCCCAGCTCATCAAAGACTTTCGAGTGGCTTCTGCCACCGAGTCTCTAGAAAAAGAAACTATTTTTGGGGAATTGCTTGATCGCGCGAGGCTCCGCTATCTACACACCCCTTGCTCCGGGAGCGGGGTATACAGACACAACATGATACATTTACAATTGGCTTTAGGCAAACGAAAATCTGGAAGTGGGAGAGACTCTCCCACCAAGGCCCCAGGCATAGGCACTGAATTTACCAACACCCAAAGAAGCATGGACTTGGCGATGAAAACTCCTGGGCAAATCTGTGAATGGCGTCGGCATCAAGCCCGCCTTGGATTTGCTTCAGGAACATCGAAAAAATAATAAACATCTCGGATGCCTTACACTGTGAGATTCGAGCAGATGGCTCAAATCCCAACATGAAATGGAGATGGAGGTCGTGCAATCTACTTTGAATCATGCGGATTCTCCAATCCGAGGGCTTCCACTGGGGATAAAAATTAGACTCGTCTCATCTGCAAGCCCAGGCCGCTGTTCAAGTCACTGAAGGTTTCAAACTGAACCTGCCACACGTTGACTCATCCAATTCTCCAGTTTAGTCAGGCAAGCCAATATGCGTCCAGTGGTATTCAGAATTGCAACTACTTATTCTTCTTCTTCTTCCTCTTCTTCTTCGTTTTCTTCCAAACAAATACTTTCTCCTATGAATTCTGCGGCTCACGCCTCAGCACGCGCCACCAAGCTTTCAAGTTCAAGCGCCGCTTCCTGTCTCTCGGCAATCTGCCGCCCAAGCTGCTGCACCTCGCGGGACAACCCCGTCCAATTCGGCATTGAAGGGTCAGTCCCTGGTCATGAGTCACGCAACTGGAATCTGGCCTTTCGGTTTGAAACTTTTTGAAGTGTTCCATGTGGTTCTTTTCAGGGAAGCGCAATGTGTTTGATGTTGCAGTCCTGAAATAAATTGATTCATGTTTTCTTGATGGCGTTGAATTCTTGGCACATTCACTTTCCTGACCTACGACTAGGTTGGTTCACATCAATGGGAGTGGCTTGCAAGACCTTGCAGCCAGTTTCATGAGTTCCTGGACTTAGAATGCTCCAGCACTCAACCCTTGGGTAGCCACCAAATAGAGATGAAAGGTCCAATGAACATTTCAAGGGAGGCTATGCAAAATAAGACAACAAAAACACAAATCATGTTCAAAGTTTGCTGTCATTCAGCTAACGTGGTCATGGAACACTCTGAATGAACCCTGTGAAGCAAACCCAGAGTTTCTCTCCCCAAACATTAGCTCATGTCCCAATAGGTCTTAAAAGGGCGGACATCTGTACGAGAAACAGCTGCAACCAGCTCCAGTCTGGGCCTCCTCGAGGAGCTCTGCCTTCCTTAGCCGATCTCAACAGGTCAGACCTGTCCGACTCCCCAAGGCACAGAAGGGTCAAGTGTCTCATGTTCCGTCCCACTGCCACACTGAATCAGCTGAAGTGCGATTTGGGCTGCTTCTCGGCGTCGGCCGCCTCTTGGCGTTGCTGCTGCTCCTTCAGATGGGTAGAGGTTGGAACGAATTGAAGATCAAGATTGCCACTCAACCACGGCACAAAACGGTTATAGAAAAAAACAGCAAAACAAGAGAGCTCCTTACAGAGATGCTTGACTTCTTTCTGCTTCGCAGCGAGCGCACATTTGCCCAGCTCTCTCGCAAAGGCCGTGTTCGTCCAAGCTGCCTGAGCAAATAGGTCGAGTCATGATATCCAGGTCAAGCCCTGTACTTCACGCAAATAGATGCCCACCCACCTGCCTCCACTGCAGGCTTGGAATAATCGAGCAAGCCAGCATGGGTCTCCTGCAAACGTGTACATCAATGGCACGCGGCTTTCTGCCGCACAACTCATTGGCCCAAATATGGCGCCCACCAGTTTCGATCAAAGCCCTAGAATACCTGACAGCTGTCGTGCCAAAGCATTGGAGTATGTTCGAAAGGATGGAAAATGAACTCTCTCAACTTCAAACTTCACAAGGGACTTGTCCATCCCAAGCCCATTCTATTCTACACGTGATTCAATTGTGGCGCGCGGCGGATTCGGCCTGGATTCGGGTGTGAACCAAATGCATGCACGAGGCGGCCTAGCGATCGAGCCACGGCGGGAAGAATGCAGTTGGCCCAAGCTTTGGCAGCGAAACAGCCCGTCATGGTAAACCCCAAAAGAACAAAATCACCGCTAAACCCGGTGTCTTCTTATCCGGGCCAAAATGGCGCATCTCCACAAATCGGCCTCCTGTTCGCAGCGTGCAAATTTGGGATTCGCCTCCTGGAAGACCGGCCCAGCTCACGGAACATGTTCGAACGGGCGAGACCTGACTGGTGACTGTGTGGGCTCCGGGCTCAAAATGGGTTGGGCATGCATGTGTCCTGTGAAAAGCATGTCTCAGGTGTCAAAAAGAGAAGTACTTGCGGGGGGAAGACCCCTAGGGCCCTAGGTGAGGACAGACCCACGCGGCAGTGGAATATCTGCTGCAATACTGCAATACCTACGAAAGACTCTGCCTGAAAGTGGTGCAAATGCCACAAGGCAATAGCTTTTGCATGGGAGCTCACCGATTGCACGTTCAATCAAAATATATGGACATTGTTATTTGAAGTCATGAAAGTTAACCAAAATGAAAACATATATATAAATAGTTCTTATATGTTCTTATTGTATGGTTGTCAAATACAACTCCTAGATATGAGAGTTAACAAGGTATGCTCTATGTGTCTTCAAGATCTTCGATGCCAGAAGAAGGTGTTTGAAATATGCTTCCGCCATGGAAGACGGCTAGTTGATGTGACCATGTGAACCCCTTGCATCGATCTATTCCCAGGGTAAATGACATGATCAAAAGAATGATGTGTCCACTCCCGTCTCAATTCCCGTCTGTCTGTGGCATTCTCATTCTGGCATGCTAATGTGGACTGTGCATTTATGAAACCCCCGGAATAATGTCTGCAAATGTTCCGGTTCATTTAACGTGTTTCTTGTGTTTTCCATGTTGGTTTGGGAGCTAGTTTTGCTGTTAATCTTCTTCGCGTTGCTATTCTACACCGGGTAGAAAGTTTCTGGCGCAACATAGGGTTCCCGGGAGGGTTCTGGGATGCGCCATCAACGTATTTTGCATTGCTATCTGGCACCTGTAGATGGCGCAACTACAGGGAGAGAGGGTGAGCAAAAACACAAACTCTAAAAAGAAATGAGATTGAAAAAAACTATAGATGACACAATGCACCTTTGTCACCCATTCAACCCCATACAAATCAGCCCAAACAAATCCAAAGCAGTCCAAACCCCGCTCAAACACTCTGTCTTCTGCTCTTTCTCCTGCTTTTCCTTTCTCTTTTCTCTGTGTCTTTCTCTTTCTCTTCTGCGCAAAAAGATTCAGCATGATTCAGCTAGTTCTGCTTTCAATACAGTATATAGATGGAGCGTGCCGTGAGGGGTCTCCAAGTACGAGGTTTTTAGCTTAAACACAGCCCTTTTTATACTGTCGGGACGCCTACTGACGGCGCAACTCTACTGTGGTACTCTGAAGCTTGTAGATGACGCATCGTTTTATTCATCTATGGTGTATTGTTGTGACTCTTTTGTTGTTTTTTGGGGGGTGCTATTTTCTTGCAAATATCTTTCTTGGCATTACCTTTCTTAGTGTTGTCTTTTGGTCTGGTCGCAGGTCCCACAATCCTGAAGGAGGGCGACCATTAAAAAGGTCTATATAAAGTGCTCTCTGATGAGTCCGGCTCCTCTGGATCCCCGCTCTCCCCTCCTGCAAGGCTGCGTCGGCGGCCGACAGCGCTTCGGTGACCGCCTCATCCGTCTTCTGCAAGTTGTCCTGGTCACAGGTGAGTCGAGGCGCATGTGCAAAATCCTGACTTGGGTCGTGTAAGCCCTGATGTGTCAATGCCTGGCAGAGATCCTTGAGACTTCTTGGGTGGTCAATGTCCAGTGAATCAGGGAGGTAGTTGAAGCACGACCCCCGTCACACAGTGTGGTTTTCTTGCGATGTTCATGTTTTTGGTCGCGCAGGTCAGTCTTCTTCCGGTTGTCATAGTTTCTCACATGTTATAGAGTATGACAAGTTTTTTTCTAAAAAAAGTCTCTTCTTGAAAGCTGCATGCTGTCTACGCTACGCTACACAATGCGACTGACATTGAGTCGGGTGGGGTGGAGTGGCGTGGGATGGGTTGGGATGTTCAGGTTCGGTTCCAACTGCACACCCATACTTTGGAAACTGTGTGCGCCAAGAGAATTGCTGACTGAGCTGAAGGAGAAAATGAAAGGTTTGACTGCACTTGCCATCCGTCAAAAAAACATAGTGTTGCTATCGTCCAAAAGAATCATTTCAAGGCAGATCTTTGATAATGCGCACGGCGCTACAGCGCCATCAACATGTTGCAGATGACCATGCTCATTTTACCGCCACGGCGTAACAGGGGGTCGTGCACCAAGTAGTTGCCTCGTCTGGCTCTACGACAGTGGCAAGGGTCTGAAAATAACGAGACCCCTGACAACCGAAAGGTGGGGAAGCAACTGAAATTGACACCAACCTGCTGGGCCGGAGGGAGATCGACCGATCGACCCATCCAACTCATGACGCGCGTCCGTTCTAGCAAAACCCGGCCTCCGTCATGAACACGGCTTCATCCCGGATGTAAGCATCTAAGTATTCCTGCCATGTCCTTTGTCGGGTCTTCTCCGCTTGCTCCAACGCTTGCCGCTTGGCGGCTACCTCACGGCGGCTGATGCGACGAAGGCTGGCGCATCGCTGCCGCTTGACACGGGTGTCCGCCTGTTGCTCCGCCAGACGGGCACGTGCCTCCGTCACAGCTCGGCGCCACGAGGGGAGGCCATCGGCCTTCTGCTGCAGAGACTCTGCATCTTTTTGTTGGGCATGGATCGCATCATGTGGGAAGGGAAGCGTGCTGCTTTCCAAGAGGCGCAAAGCCGCCTCCCTGGTCGATTTGACATGACTGTCATGCAGCTCACTCTGCATCTCGTCATATTTGGCGCCCTTCTCGTCCTCGTTCACCCACGAAAGGTTGCACTCACCCAAGTAATGACCTAGCGCCTCTGTAAGAGACTTGTTTTGCACACGGGCGATGGCTGTCTGGGTTTTCTGGACCGCCGCCCTTTCGTGGGAAAGCTGCCGGCGGAGATTGACCCGCAAGTCTGCCAAGGAGTCCTCGTTGCACATGTGAAACAGGTTGGTCAGGGTTTCCTCTGCAGAGGAACCAAATTGCCGACACTGATCAGCACAGGAAGCAGCATCACCTCCAAGGTTCTCGATGTAACTAGCACTGGAAGAATTGAAGGTCTCAGGCACCAAGGGCAAAATGCCCAGAGGGTCTTCCTCGAACGGGAATCCTACAGATGAATGGATGCTCATCAGGCCCAGCAGATCCCGATCGCGAAGCCGCTCCGAGACCTCGGTGTGAGTCTCACGTTCCACCGCCGCGCGCTGGGCGGTCTGCGTCTCAAAGCTTTGCAAGAAGTCGGCAGCTGAAGCGGCCATCGCGACGATCAATGGCACTGCTTGATACGCACCCACAGGCTTGGATTGCGCAAATGCTTGCGGATGCCAATTTGTATAAGATTCCTACGGACCTTATCCAATCAGCTTACCGCCAACTGAGAAATATCATGGACCAAAGCAGGCCGTGATGTGAAGAATGAGACGCGTGCCCACGCATTGCCGCACTCTTTTAGCACCCAACAAAGGCCTTGCAGCCACTGTTGTCATCGGCCTCCATGGACGGAAATGGGTCTGTCTTGAAATGAAAAGAACCTCGGTTGTCTATTCAGTGGTGTTGAAACGTCCTAGTTGAATGGAGAAGCTTCGTAGTTTCTTAGGACACTGGGTTGCGTTCTCTCATTTGGGGACAAACCATTTCGGAAGCCACACTTTGCTTCCCATGGCACCGCTCTAGCATGGTGTGTTTCTTCAACCAGCTCTTGCGGTGGAAGGCAAACCCTTCAAGTTACAAAATCGCCGCGCGCTGCGTCTGTACACCAAGACTCTTGGCTTGTGAAGGGGAGAAACTAGCCATCCTTTGGCTGCTTTGGATTTGTGTGCTTGTGAGTTGGCTTGCCACAAGCATAGTTGATCATAGTTGAACGTAAATGTTGAGACCCTTGTGCTTCTTAAAAGATTGCATGCTCCGGAAGTCTCATGCCCCTGCAATAGGCACCCACTGGCATCAGAGCTTCTGTCAACCTGCCCGCTGTTGCTTGCAGCAGCCAGTCGGGGTGTGCACAGGGCCTCCGAACGCACTTCATTTGACTGACGCGAAAAAGCTTACACACCCCAAGTGTTTCTCATGTGCCATGAACCAACTCCACCTGGACTCCTAATCCAAAAAGCAAACGAAAGATGGGCAAATGTGGTCTACGAGTCCAGTCCGACAGCTCGCCTCGCAAATACCATGCTCGGTGGCGAGCTTTCCAGGCTTCAAACCAAATCCTGAATTCAGAGACTGTCATTGGCATGCCACGTGGGTATGCTGGGTGAGCTGTTTCAGCGTGCAAGAAACGACACGTGGATGAACGACCCACCCTGGACCAGGACAGTGAGCTTCTATTGAACGGATCAGTTGCTTTGGCAGGCCAAGGCAACAGAAAGTCAACTCTTCTTCTGCTTTCAACAGTTCGATGTTGGACTTCTCTAAGGGTTCCTACTTGCAAGTTGCCCGGAGCTAAGCGTTCCATTTCGGCGTTGCACCCCTCAACCACATGGGGCATCAGTCATGAGAATCCGCACCTCTGAACCAAGTCACATCGCTTCGTCACTTCCACCCTTGTCCGGATGGAGCCTGTGAGAACACGCAGACCAGGGACACTTTTTGTGTCATGAACACAGGGACACCAAAGCAGTGTGGAGGAAATTCGAGTGGCACTACAGAGGCTGTCTGCATGTAGGTGTTGACCTTCAATTCCTCGAATCGAGTGGAGCAATGGTCTTCGGCGCTGACCTCAAATTGATGTTCTTCAGAAGCTTTGCCTTCTCCTCCTGAAACATGTGTGAGCCTTGGAATCACAAGCCCTTCGTTTGAACGCTACATTGGTACATGTAGGGGGCGTGCCGCCATCACTGAAACACACGCCAACAGGCTGTGGTGTACTTGCGCTCATGGCTGCCTTGTTGCAAGGCTGCTCAGCCATTCAGTTACAAGGCTGTTGAGGCGAGGTCAGGTACATAGGCCTTCATACATGGTAGACTACCTTCGGAGCTAGGTGTTTGAAGGCATCACTAATTTTTGTGCACGTGTGGAGCAAGAAATTCAACCGAAATGGCGACCAAAAATTGATGTGCCGTTCATTTGCGCTTTCAGGTCATGAGCCCAAAGAAAGAATACCAACATTTTGACCATCCCCCATTTCACTATACACCCATTGCAAACCAGCTCTCAGCTCTCCAGCTCCTGGCTGCCTTTCCATAGACTCATAAGCTCATCCACAGCTCTCTGGGTCAGTCTGCTAGCTTCCTCATCCTCAGGATGCGGGGGTGTATCGAAGATGATCTGCCGACGCTCGCCCAGTGTTGGAGGCTGTTGTGGCTCCTTCTTCCTTGCCGTTGGATTCGTTGCGGGATCCGGCTCCAAGTTCGCACCAAAAGAGGGCCCAGGAGGAGGAGGCCTGGGAGCAGCTTGGAGCTCATGGGGGGTGGCATCAGAGTACTCTTTTGCGTCCTCCTGTTCTGCATTGGTCTGAGTAAGAGTATGTGCAGCATTGCAGCCCATCTCGCCCACAAGGGATGCCACTATCTTGGGCATGTCCTGTGGCGACCCACACTCATTTGCCGGAAAGATGCTACAAGTTTGGGAAATCCAGAGGGTATCTTTGACGTTGGACCTCTGCTGTCCTTCGCAAGCTTCTGAAAAATAACGAGTCAAACGCTTCAGACACGAAGCAAAACACCCAGGCCCTGCAACTTCATCGATCCCCAATTACCCCCCTTTCACCAGGGGCCTGCATCAAGGCCTCGTTGATCTCCATCTTAAGCTCTTCTGCTTCCGGCACCAAAGCCCGGAAATCGCTCAGGTCCCTCCGGAGGCGGTCAGTGCTCCTCTTCTGTGCCTCCAAGTCTGCCTAGCGCAGGCGATGTTTAGAGCGATGTCTTCTGTGTCCATTTCTCTGGGGGCGGCAGAAACTATGACCCACACAGCCCAATGGGATCATCGGATAAACAGCGACACTGACCGGCGAATCACCGCCCTATCTGTCGTAGACGTCTTGCTTCAAAGTGCGAAACATTGCTGCTCGGCAGCCTGGGAAAGCTAAATCATACGCCGCAAAACAAGGAATATCATGGCAAGAACCTCTACGCACTTAATTAAGACAAGGAATATCCGTCTTGTCGCTTGCATCCTGGACAAACCGGGGAGGGTAACCCAACATGCCTTAGGCGCAACCTACGGAGCATGTTTTGAGCTGCAACCTGGGTTCATGCTTTATGATCTCCAGCCCCTGTAGGCATGAAACGAATCATTCCCATTTATTGCGGCGGATGTTCAATTTGGATGCTGCAATCTTGCTGGTGCAAGAAGCATATACGTATTCTATTCTGTTAAACCGTTGGTCAATAAACTTGCAGGTTTGTTACAGGTTTGTTCCAAACCCCCCCGTGTGTCAAATCTGATCATGGTCCGTGATGAGAAAGGATTCGGTTCCGGTTCGGTTTCTGAAACGATGGTCAAAACCTGGAGCCAACACCTTTAGTAGTCTATGTCTGTTCCATTTTGTTGGTCAACCAAGGTCCCCCAGCGTCATGACCCATAATGACTTTGAAGGGCCATGTGAAAGTCCTCCCACAACCTCAAATGGGGTCAATAGCTCTTTCTTTTGTGCCCTTCATAGACATAATGAGTGTTGCTCCAAAACCAAGCATACGGACATCTAGGTCTTTTTCAAAAGCACAACTCAAGGCAGGCTCCTGACAAGTTCGCAATAGATCCAGCAGGGACACCACACCTGCAAAGCAGCACAAAAGGAGTGCAGTGAGGGGGTCCACGCTCTTATACTCACAGGTTCGCACTCACTGAGGCGCGCACGTGTTTCAAGCTGAGTCTCTTTCTCCTGGCGGATGTCTCGCTCTCGCTCGAGGTCCTGGGCAGGAAAGGAGGCACTGCAGTACCGAATGCAGACTGAAACGCATCGCCACTCAGAAGAGCTTCCCGCACCGGCGCCTGAATTCTGCGCGCCTGACGCACAAGCTGTTTGCGCAGCTCTTCCTGTGCGACTCGTAGGGAATGAGGGACTGACCCACAAGGAGATTCCTTTAGCTGACTGGTGCTTAGTAGGGAGCACGGAGTAAGGGACTGAGCTCCCCATAGAGATTCCTTTGGATCCAATCCCTCATTCCCTACCAAGCACCAAGAAGGCAATCCATTCATTCGGATCAATTGGTGGTTGGCCAAATCACTGGCATGTGGCATGCTTTGACATGCGTCATCGGAACAGCCCTGGTAAACTGAACTTGAATTTCCCTACAAACCATCTTCCGATTGCATGGCAATCTTCTTAAGACTTTGCTGTGCCCTGCACATATTATTTTGTTTGGGTCACCGTCATTGCTAGCAAAGTCAAAGACTGCCCAGCCACCTTCTCCTCTTCCATGAGTGCTCGCTGTCTTTCCAAGCACGTCACATTCTCTTCGTAGCGCGTACGCCACTGCTCCGTGTCCTGGCGAACCCGAAGTCCCAACCCACGAGCTGGTCCCCAATAAATCAACCAGCTCACTCCCGTGATACAAAGAACTTGTTTAGGATTTATTTGCAGCTATGGCCAGTGCCCCGAAGGGAGAGTGTTTTGCCAAGTTTGCAAGTGTGAGACTGCTTGAAGACTGCAGTCTGGGGCAGGTGTTTGCCTCTCATAGCACCATGCTGGCCACACCAAATATTCTACATCCCGTCCGTGTCCTTGGCTTGCATCTGCATGGTGTCACGCAGCTGCGACACCTCGAACTTCAGGCTGGCAAACTCTTGCTGGGCCCACTCTGCATGAGCATAGTATCCGTGGAAGCACACCTTGGTCAACCCCTTCAACACCCTTCATCATCCTTCATCCATGTTCACCAGCCACAATGCAAAATAACCCTACCCCTACTTCAGACGGTGTTTGTATCCTTGGTACCAACTTGATACCCCAAAGGTGTGTTCGGCCAAACCGCGCAACTGATTATCAAGCAAAGACGAAGCTGGCTACGGACTCTGCCCAGCTACGTAAGAGCCGGCAGGCGTGACGCTCTCATTGCGGTTGAACTCGGCGACTTCCAAAGGGCCCTGAAGAGAATAAATTCGATTGGTGATGTTCTCCCACTCCAGGTGTCCACCTTTAGCATGCTGCCAGACATACTTGTACTCGAAAGGTGCTTGCTCCATCTCCACCTGGCTGAAGAGAAGGAGCGCGCCCACATCTTCAGTTCAAAGCGCTAAACCCGGCACCTGGCCCCGTGCTCCAGCCTACTCCGACCAACCGCTCACCCGCCTCAACTTGCCACTTGGGGAACAAGCCCTGTTGTGTCTTTAGCTCTCGAGCACCATGCATCTTCCAATGTCCAAGCTGCCCGACACCTGCTTGGGAAACTGAATGGATGGCCAAACCGGTCTCTCAGTTTCTACGTCAGTGTTTTCGATGATTTCGCGATGTGTTCTGCAAACTGCAAACTTCTAAAAGACCGGCTCCAGAACCGCCTGTGACAGGTCAGGTTTCTTGAGAACACCACCGTAGTGACGCCTCGGTGACCTTCTCTTTAGCATAGAAAGAAGGAGGGATCCACCAGGTCCAATCGTTCTGCAGTACACTTGGAATCACTAACATGGGAGTGGAAAACCATTGTATTGAGGGAAAATCGTGACTCTCTCAGGGAGTGTGGTTATTCTCACGCGGTTTTTTCGCCCCCGTTGGGCAGTCTGGAGCAACTTGCAAGGTCGCAAAAGGAGATACATGTACCTGTGACGTAACACAGACGCATCTCCACAGGCTTGTGTAAAAGTCCTCCGAGAACGAAAAAAAGGTGCATTGTACAAGACGCAGCAGCTCAAAAAGAATCCTCACTGCTCTCCACTCTTTATCCAAGGGACTTCCCACTACGAAGACCCTGTCTCCCGGTTTGGCATCCTTCACGGATACCACGAAGCGGTGACGAACCCACATGGCGGAGGAGGCCCAAGTGGCGCAAAAGAGAAGTGCCGGAGCTGAAGATTGCTTGGTAGAAACTCTGTGTTGGGTCAGTGAACATGCTGCAGGACTGGAGCAGGACTGCCTGCAAGGCCACACCGTAATTATCCTAACTTCCACGTCCGTTGCCCAGAGAGTGTAATTCTTTGCGAGTTGTTCTCTTGCCAGAGGACCTGTTCAGAATGAAGTGCCAATTGCATTCTGTAGATCAACCCTGTGTGTGGTGCAGGAATATCATATTTTTCTTGCGCATTGCAGTTTCTGCATGCTTGCGGCTAAGTACACCAGAGCTGCATTGAGAGATGCGCTCTTCCCCTACAAGTCCCTTAGACTTGCAGCCACAAAGCATCGGCCCCTGTGCATCCGAAAGCCATGGTCCACTGCGACGGTCCACTGCGACGGCAAAATACAAAACCGCCAGGTCCACTGCGACGGAGTGATGGTTCCGACGGCTAATTGCGGTCAATCAGCACGTCCAACTCGAGCAAATCCATCGGAATTCTTTTTGAGTTCTAGGCAACGACCGAACTGTCGGAAGCTTGATTTCGGCCACTCGGCCAAGGGCGGAAAACAGAGCCTTTAGGTTTGGCCGTTCACAAGCGTTTGCATGGAGAGATGTTGTTTTCCCCCACAAGGTTCTTTGACTTGTGCCCAAACGCGGCAAAGGCTTCAGTTGCCAGCCTTGGCAGAACAACACAGGGGCCATACTGATTTGATAATCTAAATGGTAAATAGGAATAGAATAGAGTCTACCCCTATTGATATTCTGATAAGTATCAACGTCCTATCAATCCTTATGTCAATAGACGTCAATAGACATACGTAATCAATGTATTTCAATTATTCTCGATATGTCCATTTTAAATAATCAGGCGATTGGTTAGTCTTGAAAGTTGCAACGTACTACGGAGCTTAATTCCGGCCAAGATTTCTTTCGTGACACACAGCAATCCCATGTAATTGATGAGAATTTCATTGGTTACATTGGCATCAAATTCATGGTGGTCAAACAAACTTTGGCCGGCAACAGTTCTTGACCTTCCATCTGCAATTGAAGGAGAACTGTCACAAAAATAAAATCATATAAAATCTTTCGTTGCTAATAGCTCTTGTAGCTAGTAGCTGCTACAGCTTTGCGGTCGCTCTTGTAGCGGCTGAGGAAGACATTGCGACGGTGACGGTGATGTGCAATTAGTCTCCTTTCTCCACATGGTCCCAGGATTGGGTCGAACCTAAGTGGCGCGGCTCAACACGGAACGCCAACGCGGTGACAATGGAAGGTCTTCTCATTTGAGCTCCATAACTCCGTGGCGTTGGGGAGGGAAACTGGAATGCGTGGAAGGGCTAGGCGTCCAGTCAGCTATAGCCAAAAGATCTCGGCAATCTCTGGCCACTTGTGGGGGTGGGAACCCCACATCACTCTAAGGCCTTCACAGGCATCAGAATCACGTTGCAGTTCTGACTTCAACTCCTGCACTTAACAGCCATCAAACGAATGATTTGTCTTTATACTGACCTTTTCCAAGGATGACCCCCAACTCTTTTCAATCCATTGCGGGAGGAAAGAACTATCACCCTTGTCAATGGCATCATCACAACTTCTGCGGCTTCAGGGAAATCTCGGGACATTCCTCAGCTGGAAGTGGCCCAAATCTGTGGGCTGCTCACATCATGGTCTCCTGGTGAAACCCTGCTCCTTCACCACCCATCGTTCCAGATGTCATGCCCCACTCCTGGCGCATGAGCTGCAGCATGTGCTGCCGTTCGATCCTTGGGAGAAAGCAAGCCATCGACGCATCGCACCGCCTCTGTTGACTCAACCGGTGGTCCGGACCCGCTGGGTCCATGCTGCCGCCCTCGCTCGCCCCAGCTCCAAACACTCAAGCGATTTAGGAGCCATTCGCTCGGTTCCATCCCGAACCCCTCAACTGAGGTTGTGCGAGATGAAGACCAAAGGACCAAAGGAGCCTACCAAACGCTCCTTGAAAGGATCATGGTTCCGTGGAAAATTACCGCCACCACCTGTTTTGGCATTCGGACATCCATTCATTAGGAGCCAATCTGCTGCTGAATGGAGTGGACTGAGTGGACTTTTCTGAGAGGAACATGTTCTTTACATGTAAAGAAACACCGAGAAAGCGGTTGATCTGCCTGCAGAGATTCAGACTGCATCTTTTGACATGTAAAGAATCCATTCAATCCGATCCTTCAGTTCGGTCATGCCAAGGAGCTGAAATTCTGCCAGCATCTGCTGCTTCTCAATCTTGAACTTCTCCTCGCGGCTGACAGACGCACCGAAACAAACCGCGATAGAAGCAAGCCCAGGGAGCTGAACAGCGAGCGTCAGCAGAACGTGTTCGGCTCACCAAGTTGCAATCCGGAGCACCGGAAATATGTGTGGCCCCAATAGTGGTGTTTTTGACGGTCTCATAAAAAACAGGAGCCCACCTGGCAGATTCCCAGTTAAAATTGTGTCTCTACCATGAGGATTGCCCTCACCACTGATTTTGCTCTTTGACTCTGTTTCGTGTCTCTTCTACTGGTGGTCCCACAACACACACTGATGCCTACGAGGACATGTGGGGCAGCCCAAAACCCCTGCCCAACATGTGGATGTCCAAAATCGTCTCCTCCATTTCAAGGCGCAGCTTTTCCATGGGGTCTGGCATGTGTTGCCTCAGAGGAGCCGGTTCAGCGCCGGTTCGGGAACGAACCCCAAAACCAACGGCGGCAACGACTCGTTTGGCAGCGGTCCATCGGTCCAGGCGAGTGGTGCGAAGCTTCGGCGGGGGCACTGTTTGAAGCAGAAACTGCGAAGCTTCTGGCTTGTTGCTTGTATAGGTGTCGTTGGTGGAAACAGGGCACATAGATTGGAGGAGTGACAAAACCAAGGTCTTTGATGGAAGGAGCGATCCTATTGGGATTTCAGCTTCTTTTCAGCTTCATTAGCCGAATTATCCGAATTGGACCAACCACTTCTACACCACAAGGATCGATGATGAACACATTCAGTTCGATTTTGAAGCAAACGCCCATGCACAAAACCAGTTGGACTGCGAGAGTCAAGACATCACTTCGCATTCACACAAAAGCAGCACTTCAAACATGCATCCAGACCACCCGAACCACCCCACCTGGAAACCCAGCCCCAACCAAAAAAACAACTGGTTTGTTCCAATATGTCACTTGAAGTGTCACTTGAGATCCTTTACATAGAAGATCATAGAAGAAACATCCATTGGTTTCTGGTGCATTTCCTGCATCCAACCAGGTCTCCCCCCCACCCCATCCCCAAAGTGGAGTCCTCGCCCCACTGGTGGAGTCCTCGCGCCGGGCGTCCGAAGCGCCCTGGAACCGCTGGGAGCCGCTGGGTCGGCGTCCGCTAATTCGGCGCCGTCGCTCTCGTCGACGAAGAGTTCAAAGTCGCCATAGCAGGCCGCGGCCTTCTCCTGCGCCGTCGGTCGTCGGTCGTGGGTCTTTGGTGGAGGTCACCGGTGAAGAGTCACACGGGTCTCTGGCAGACTCTGGCTTGGCGACATGGGTGAAAAGATGTGAGAAGAAAACCTCTGAACCCAAAAAGTTCCTAAAGCTCCTGCGCCCGAAGCAGTGACGTGCTCGTCGCTTCGACCTGCTAAGCTCTCGGCGTCGCTTGCCGCTTCGACCTGCGACGTGCTCAGCCCCAGCCCCGCCGAGGTGTCGACGCGGTCGATTCCGTGAGACGGTCTCCTGAGCAAATCTGCGAATGGCTTCTTCATCAAGCCCACCTTGGATGCTATAGGGAGCATGGAAAGACTATCACGAGGTCATACAGAGTCATACACATTTAGCTGATAAAATTGCACCACTTCATCCAACTTCTGAGATCCACAACTCCCAATAGCTTCCATAGATTCACCAAATCATTAGGGTGTTGGTGCCATTCTACAAGTAACATCCACTGCTCTGTCTTCGCCCAGGCCACTGTTCAGGACTCTGAAGGAGTCGAACTGCTCCTGCCGCTCAAAACATTGGAAGCAAATGGCAGGAAAAAGACATCATTCACCGCCAAATGCCTTGGGTTAGTTCGATGTCCTTTGAATTCAGACAATGCTCCGCCATTCATATCATTAAAAATCTAAACCTCCAGACCCCTTCACCCAGCACCCGAGCTCAGGAAGACCTCACCTGCGCGCGCCGGCGCGCCACCGGACCCGCACCTCGGCACCTGACACCAAACGCTCGAGCTCGGCCACCTCCTCTCGGGTCCGGAGGATCTGCCCTTCGAGCTGCTCCACCTGACTGGTCCCGAACGGACGAGTCCCCCGCCAGTCACGAGCTCCGCTGCCCGGTCCGGGTGAGACCGCAAAAGCCTTTCGGTGGGTATGGTGGGGGCGGTCGAAAGCCAAAAGCAGTACTCAATGAGGTCAAGGACCAGGTTTGGAGCTTGGACTTGTGGGGACTCTTCATTGGCTAGCTCCTTGTGGTAGGTGTTGTTGCTGTAGGTCCCTTCACCTTCTAGCAAAGTTGTCGTTGGCTTGTTTGCTCACTCTCCAGGAGTTGAGGGACACATGGCGTGCGCGGTGAACCCCGAACAACCCCAACAAGAAACGACGACCGCGAATCCGCACGAGCGCACTCCATGTGCCCGTGTGCTCCGCAAGGCCTTCTCCAAAGTCTGCGCCTTCCTTGGTGAACCAAGGGACGCACACCCCTCGTACTCAGAGGAGATTGGTGGACAAAGGCCTTCCTTTGGACAGAGGCAGTGTATATATCAGTGCGGCCCCCCTACCTGGATGGTCAAAGATGTCCAAATGAGTGGTGCTGCAATCGAGTCAACCTTGTGGCATTTAGGCATTGGAAAAAGGAACCGTCAACCTGCGGAAACCAGAGTTTTGCAATCATAGCCATCATGGAAAACAAGAAACAGTCAGCCTGCAGAAACCAGAGCTTCTGAAAACTTTGATCATAGCCATCTTGATGTTTCACCGCTGTGGAAG